CATCGCTATTAGTAGCTAGTTTGCTACCAGGAGCAAGAAGCTACTAGTAACAAGAGACTGCGGCAATGAGGCACTACATTGCAGGTGACAAGAAGCTCTCTAAGAGGTGGTGGGCACCTTTGGAGTGTGATGAGTACAAGGCAAGCGCGGGGATCATGCAGTGCTGCTAGTGCCATGGGAAAGCAAGAGGTGAGCATCAATGAAAAGATGTAGGTAAGCGCTTGCCCACAACAGCATCAAAAGCCCGCTTCCGGACTGGTGCCAAGAATGCTGAGATCTTCGTTTGTCCAATTCCATAAGGAGGACACCGAAACTGGAGGGATTCGAAAACTTTGACTTGTCCAGGGCCACTGGGCCGGTGCCACGGCGCCCGCGTGTGAGCAGAGAAATAAAAACCTGGACAGACACAAGAGCCTCAGTGGATGCACAAAAGGCATCGAAACCCCGCCAACGAAAGTTAGCTCCCACCAGGTCAGAGACCAATCTCCACAGCAGGGCTCCAGTGGGGTGGTGAATAATTCTTTTTCGCCAGGAAGCCGTGAAGAACATCCTCGAGAACATCGAGTCGGGCGTGATCCCCGAGAAGGAGGGTTCAGCAATGATCAAGAGGCGACGATTTTGGCGGTGATGCGTGCTCCGAAGTGAGATCAAATTGGCTCATGAGATGGTTTTCATATGGTTTCATGGCATTTGCTCCTGGGCTAGCCAAAAAGCTTAAAAACGAAGAAGCTTGGCTGGTAGGTGCTGGTAGGGTCACTGAGAACAAGCAGTTTGGGTTACGTTGGCCATGCCCCATCCCCCCTTTGCTTTGGAATGGGATCAGTGACATCATGCGACATCAGCGGTTCTGCCAGACGTGGAGGCGAGTCAATGCGCTGAAGAACATCAACATCATGACTGACCTCAAGTGGAAGGCATGAGAACCCATCCACGCACCAAGATCGCTTCCTTCTTTTGGCATTGGGTAGCCGATGTTTAATATCGGCCATAATTTTCATGTAGTAGACCTCAGTTCTATGATGAACTGTTCCACTTTGTTCCATTTTATCATTTAATCCGTCCCCAAACGAAGCGGTCCGCAGCCGTCGTTCACCAGCTCTGGTGGATTCTTCGAAGCGGATCAGGTTCTGGCGACGAAGCGCCGGGAACGTGTGGAAGATCGACAGGCCATTGAGAACTCCACAGGAATGTCCCTCTCACAGATGAGCTTTATCCATTTGCCTGCGATCAAGTGGGTTGAAGGGGACTCTTTTCGACAGCACGGCGCAGGATGCCAGAGGGGAGGAAAGGAAACCGAAAGGGACAACTGACAAGAGGCTTTATTTATGGTTCATTTGTGGTTGTATTTCTACGTGCCCCCAATCGCATCAAAATGAGGACGAGGGACCTTTCAAAAACCCAGACATGGAAGGATCATATACCGTGTGCGTCAGCCATCTCAAATAGTTCTCGGGGTTTTGAAATGTACAACATGCAGTCAGGGCTTTATAGTCCATTATATAGTCATATATCAATAATATCATCATGAATCATGTCATATAATAACGTGCCATATCATATCACCTCTTTCTTCTTCTCTTTGATGGTGTCTGGATGGACGCTCCGTCGATGCACTCAGCCACCCAGGAACAGTGGGACATCCAGAAACATCACACATACGCGCCGATCCCGTGGCAGACGGGTCGCTGCCGTGACGAGATCGCCACTCCAGAACTGGAGACCATCGCCAAGCTCTTGCAGCGCTCCGGGAGGCCAAGAAGTCTACTTGGATACCTTGGCATAACACATAACAACATACCTCCAAGACGCTGCAAGCAGCTTCACAGGTTGCACTTCCTGCCCAGATCAGATTCCAAGACTTTCTCAGTTCAGATATTTTAAACGGTCACGCTTCAAGCACTCAAAATGGCATAGGTTTCAGCTAGAGCAAACCAGTTCATTCATGCCCTGGTTGTACCTATCCCATTCAGGCGGCAAGTCCTTTGGCAGATCGCGGAGATTGCTGCTATGCTCTCCGGACCAAAGATGATCCAACTACTGGAGGTGGGTCAACCCGTCGTCCCCCCTTGGACAGTTGATGATCCAGATCAGATCATTCAGACTGTTGTTTACCAGGTGGTGGTCACTTGCTTCATGGTTTGCAGGGAGTCTAGATTGTAAATAGATTCTTTGATGCTGCGCATGTGGCGTTGGTGATGTTGTGCCCGAAAGGTGTTGTGGTAATTCATCTGAGAATGATGTGACATGCCGTGAATGTTCCCCCGCCTGTAGGCGAGCATCGCGCTTCTGGATGCACGTTTCGAAGGAATGGCGAGAACTGTTGGAAGGCACTACCCATATTTGAACTCCGCTCTCACCAAGAGCCTTGGATGATCTTGGATATATACCTAGGACCTATAGGATGCCTGAACTGATTCTGGATGAAGCAAACAAACACACCACACACCACAGGTAACTGTCTTCATCATGTCTTCACCATTATCTTCATATGTCTTCAACTGGTCGTGTCATTCTCCCCCAAGATTTTCTGTTTATTCTGAGGAATGAGTCTCAGAAGAGCAGCAGCGATGTCCTGACGCCCTTGGTAGAGCTCCTGCTGTTGGATGACTCCACGCGAGATGCGTGCGTTGCCAAGCTCATGGAACGAGAAGACTGTGAATTCTTCCTCCTATTCGGTGCCAGCTTTGGGCGACATCTTAGTAACCTATCTGCAAGTATGACACTGCCGACACGGTGGCCCACGCCTCGTTGTCAGTCCTGGGCCTGATGGATGTTGGTCACGTCTCAGGTACTGCTCGGCAAGAGTGGCTTCACAAGTGCCTTTGCAAGCTGAAAGCACCTACTGAGACTGATGTGGATGCCTGGGCTGCCAATAGGATAGGTCAGCTTCGTTGGTCTGGGGCATAGGGGCCCTCAAGGGTTGATTGAGCACCTAGATGTCAATAGGGACTGGTTGATGACCCAGATGTTCAAAAGTCCAGTGATCATGGATGATCGTGCGTTTGTCGTGCTTTTCCATTAGAGCTTTGGATTTGAGAAGTTCAATGTGCAGTCGTTGCCTGTTTGGCCACCCTTTGGGTTTCATTTGTTTCTTGTGAACAGTAAACTCAGTAAACTTAGGAGTTCTACCACTACCGCAAGCGTGGGCCGATGCTGAGCCAGATCGCCCGCTATGGCAAGGGTGATCCAGGATGGAGGGATGCTTTAAAGACGGTGCCTTGGCTGCGATGTTTGTTCCTCCTCTTCTCTGCTCCGTTGGCCGAGCCGTTTCACCCAGCTGCGAGTAGTTGGCAAAAACACGGACGACACCGTGTCGCCGTGTCGCCGTGAATCAGGCCAAGGGGGCGGTGCAATTGTACCTGTGGCACTCACTCACGCAGACCGAACCTTGGATGGGCACATGATGGTGGGTGTTGTGGATGAGTGCGTTCATAGTTGAGCGTGTCGGCATAGGGGGGCCGGTAAATGTACTGTCCCGGTTGACCCAGTTCACCCGGTTGTTGTTGTAGTCGTGGTGGTGGTGTTTCGTCGGGGTGAACTGCTGAGTTTTGCAATCCTGTTTAATTAATTCATCTAAAGAATTCTGTCACGTTGAGGTTCAAAATAACATTATATCTGTGTTTGTACAGCCGTTCATATGTTTGTATTTCCTCTTGTCAGACTTATATATAAGGTTGAACGTATTTCACGCAGACATGCCAATTCTGAAATGAAATAATCTGAGCTATTTAAATCACGAGAGCCAGATTCATCAGATCGCAAACTTTTTACACAAAGACTCAGTTGAACATTAAACAAAGACAAACATCTACTACAATTTGTTCAAACGTCACCAAACTTAGATGCAGTAAGAAACATGTCGTGGACACGAGCGAGCTATGGCATAGGGAATTGGATGGTTTAAAGATGTTTAAAGAGGGTCGATGCTAACAATGCTGTTGTCGAGACCCGCTTGGTTGTGGACAGGCCCCATGCTCCCCCTTCTTGATACGCCTCAATAGAGCTTTCTTGATTGCAGACACCACAAACTGGCCTGCCACATTGGCCCATGGACCCTCATTGTTTACTGTTCTCTTAGGACAAAAGAAGCTGGCCGCAGTCGCCTGGCCATGCCGGTCAACACTGTGTCCGGACGGTGTCCTCCTGTTATTGTCCTCTTCTTTATTCTTCTTTCTTGTCCTTCTGGTGTGCAGCTTGGCCGCGGCTGCCAGCCGGTCTCCAGACGTTGTTCTCATGTTGTCCTTTTTTTCTCTCTTGTCCTCTTCCTGTGCTCCTGTTGTCCTCTTCTTCTCCTTCTGCTGATGTCCAGCTTGGTCAAGCTTGTGAACCCTATGTCCGCCTGTTGTCGTCTTGTCGTCTTCTTCTTGTTCACCTGTTGTTTCAGCTTCGTGGCTGCTAGCCTGTCTTCAGTCTCTGTCCTTCTGTTCTATTCTTTTTGTCCTCTTCTTGTCCGCCTGTTGTCCTCCTTTTGCCGTGTTCTTCACCTCTTCTTGTCCCCTTTTTGACACCAACTTGGCCGCGGCTGCCTGCCAGTCTCCAGACTGTGTCCTCCCGTTGTCCTTTGTCTTTTCCTTCTCTTGTCCTCTTCTTCTCCTTTTGTTGTTATCTTCTTGTCCTCCTGTTGTCCTCCTTCCGGTGTCCAGATGACAGCGTGGCAGCATGTAGGCATGACACCATGACAGAGTGTGCGCGGGAAGCACCGTCCCCAAGCGCAATCAAAGGGTCCAATGCGAGAAAACCATTGCACACGCGCAAGCCTTGTGTGGCACCTAGGGGGAAGCGCCACCCGGCAAGTTTGAAGACCACAGCACCGCAGCATGGCCACATGGCAGCCTGTCAGCAGGTAAGCATGACAAAATGCAAGCGTGCAGTACAAATCAGTGAGGCACTAGCAAGACAACTCCAGAAAGCAACCCCAGAAGCCGAAGTCCTCTCCTTGTCTTCCTGTTGTCACTGGTTGCAAGTGGCTCCGAAATAGTCACCGGTAACTGTTTGAACAATTGTTTTCAATTATGTGACACACACATATATATATATATGTATTGATCTATTGTATTTTCAAAGTTGCTTGCCAGGAGTTCTTGAAGAAAGCACTGTGGTCGACCGAACCCGAAGAGTTGACCCTGATCCCGCGCCTGGAATTCGCCGACGGCGTGTCACGCGTCAGTGAGCTCTTGAGCATCTACCCCAAGGAGCAGACCACCAAGGACAGGGTGTTTTTGGATGTCCTTGGGGCACATGTTTTGGGGGGGTGCTGCTTTGGGTGATCTTCTGGTTTGAGAGTCTTGAAGCCTTAGAAGCCGCTACTAGCAGAACATTCATGGGGCTTTGGATATGGTTTCGTGTTTGCTGCTCAGCATGTTGCTTGTCTGTTGCATCGAGCTGGTTCCAGTTTGGCAAGAAGTTCTGAAAGCAGAAATGATGCTCGGGGCACCGGTGCTCAGGACAACAGTTCTGACGTTTGGGGCTGGGAGGTCATTCAGGCGCTTCTTGGGGACCGAAGGGGCCGGGACGGGCGCGTCGGTAAGAGGAGGCGACCCCAGGTCGCCATGTCGCGTTCTCATCGAATTGTGTATCTTTGACCGGGAGAGGAGGTCCTTGAGGGACATTCAAAGACGTTTGAGATCGAGCCACTCACGTATTCTTCCGTAGAGTGTAAATTACAATTACTGAAAAAACTACTAAGAAACTTTGATGTCAGCAACGATGATCTCAAAATAGTATATCCCCAATGATTCCAAAATGGGTTCAGTTTGGTTGTAGATGTTTGGGTTTCATTTGATTTGGCATTCGTGGAATGGAGCGGAGGCTGCAGGGGCCTTCAGTGACATCAACCAAGAGGTTGAACGGCGCTTTGCGGAGATGTGCCTTGATGCGATTCTCACGAGAAAGGCGATGAAAGACACGAACGGACCACATAAAGAGGATCCATCGGGTACGGTAGATAAGTTCTACAGTAAGGGCCGTGACAAGTTCCAATCCTGACCCACGCCCCAACCCCCACCCCGACGAATTGTTCATGTCCTCTTGTGAAGGCCATCTTGGCCTGATTTGAGGCCAGAGCCAAGCTTCTGCGACAAGGTGGATGATCCTGAGGCTTGGAAATTATTTGTGTATATGTCTGACCGTGATCCTAGGGAGAAGAACAGTCAGGTTGGATTGGGCACGAGTTTTTCCTCACCGAGGGTGTCATGATTCGTCGCGCGAGTGCCACCGAGGTGGAGACTCTCTTAAGCGCTTTGGGACGCTCAGACAACGCGGCCAGTGCCATGAAGGTCTTGGGTCCCCACGCAGGGAAGGTAAAGCAAGCGAAGGAAGCGGCTCCTGAGCAGCGTCAGTGTGAAGAGCTGGTGGTACAGTGAAGCCAGAATTTTCCAGAACATGCTATTCAACAACGATTCTCGTTGTAATGTGGAAGGCGAGTTCAGTTTCAAACAGGTTTAGCTGGTCCTGGGCCATCCTAGGTCCTTGGTCGATCGCCTTTTGCTTTAGTTTCAGTTTTTCCTTTGGAAATTTCTGAAATTCTAGCAGCCCCAGGTCACAAAGATGATCTCACAGCTCAGCCCACCCCGAGCTCGCGTGGCTTGGCCGTCGTGACCGGATTTGGCTTTTATGGTTTGGGTTTGGGTATGGGTGTGCTATGCCCGCTGCCTTGGACTTAAAAGTTAGGAGGCAGCACAGATCCAGATTTGACCAAAGAGCTGAGTGCTGAGGTGTTGATCCGTCAAGTGATGTTGCCCAAGAAGGCTGGTGTTGGCTTGCAAGTGGCAGGTGGGGGCCCGAGAGGATTCTCGAATATTCCCGAAGTCGCAGGCATTTTGGTGCGACAGGGGTTGCTGCCGAAATGTTCGTCGACCTTTCTTCGGTGGAAAGTCCAAAAGACAGGTCTGAAGAAGATCGTGGACCTGCGCATCCCGGACCCGCTGGGGGCTCAAAGGGTTGCAGAAAGAGCTGGCTGTGTGACCTAACTTATATAATTAGGTTGTTTGATGTTGTGTGCATATGTGCACATTCAGGATGGGGCATCGCATCTCACCTTTGTCAAGTGTTTATCCCTCCGAGTCTGACCATTCTTGAGGCTGGAGCTGTACACTTACGTGTGGCGCAAAGGAGAGTGCCAGAGAGATGTGGCAGGACTGCTTCCATTCGAGAAAGTACTGTAAATGAGATTTTTTTGAGCTCAAAGTCGTCCCATGTCATCCGAAATTCCGAAATGCTTTATTTTTTGACATTGTATAACACTATACTAACTAATGGAAGTTGCATATCTCTACTTGGGTTCTGTGGCTGGGTGGACTATTGTCTACCAGAGGTATGGTCAACAGGATCATTCTGCCCCGTGATAGGCAGTATCCTCTCCAAAGTCGCGACATCCAGCGAGTTCCGCCCGGAAGATGTTCGCACCTTGACGTGGATAGGTCCGGTGTTTGGATGGTCCATTGGTGTGCAGAGAGCGAAGGGTGAGGAAGAGACTGAGGATCTGAGACTGAGGCTCTGAGCCCAACCGGTAGCCCAGCCCAGTTGAACTGGACCTTCTCCCACACCATTTTGTGTATGAGTTGAGCTGCGTCAAGAACCCTCACGAAAGGAAATTTGATGAGGTTCATATAGGTTGTGGCCAGCGAAAGTGAAAACCCAACGTGCGAAAGCCTCGAGAAAACTTTGCGGAACGTGGCCTGTGGGTTTATTCCCCACAGTGTCGTCACACTAGGGGTTCTTACAGTAGTTGTTAAGGCCCGGTGTTGATCGAGGTGCTCCGTGGGCGCTGGTAAACAGATTTTCCGAGAAGGCTTGGGAGTGCTGGGACTGAGGCATCTACTTCGATTACTTCGACCGCACCGACAACCCAGATGACCAAGCGCACGTGGCGAATACCTTGTTGGACCAGCTCATCGAACAGCCTGAATGGGTCCTGCCTTATCTGCCCAAGGCGAGCTCCGGCAACTGGAGTCTGGCGAGCTATTCGCTTATTCACCAGAAGTCAGTGATTCCGTGGTTCGATTGGTGCCATGAAATCAACATGTCTATTCTGGAGTTTTGGCCGCTTCTGATATCTAACTGGTACCTAACCCATTGCTCAATGCGCAGAAGTTTCGAACGAGAGACGATGTCCCAGGTGGTGTCAAAGCTGGCTATGGTGCCCGGTGCCACTATGAAAGCTGTGCAAGGCTTGACGCATTGCACCTCCAACGTGCCTTGCCTCAGGCATGAGTGAGGGGTGTTGTAGGTTCAACACACGCCCCAGACCACGGCACTTATCTATACCCCAATTCAACCTATGGATGGACTACAGGATGCTTTTTTGGCGGATTGAGAACGAAAGACCTGGAGCCAGGGATATTGTGGCGGCTCATGTTCAGACATCCTCTGGGGAAGGCGTCCACGAGGTGGTGCGCTTACGCGAGGGCCAAATGGGCTCAAGACCCTACATGGAGTAAGGCCTTCTCTTCTTAACTTCCAATGGTGGATGCGATCGATCTTTGAGTCAAGCTGTGAGGTCACCGATGTAGTGGAAGCATTGACGAGGGTATTGCAGGCTTGTCGCTTAGCCACTCGCACCGATCCAAAGATGAACAAGGAGGGGGTTCGAGCTTGTGGAAAGCAACATCTATCTATCTATCCGCATATATCGAAACATGTACCAATGAACATAAGTCTTAAGCATACTGCAGTGTATATATGTTATATATATGTATATATGTTATATTTGTCGATATTATGCACACATAGACCGTCCCTCACGGCTGCTTGATTGTGTCAAGATCGGCTGGAGCAACCACCAACACAAGCAGGTGGGGAGTGGTTCTGTGTGTAGGGTAAGATTGAAAAACCATGAAAGTCCATTCGCCACGCAACAGAGGGGAATTTGCTTCATGTTCAGGTGAGGGGGAAGCACAAGGTCCATGTTGGAGTTCTGGCTCGACTAGCCTTGCGAAGATGGTGATGTGGTGACAAGTCATTCATGTTGGGTCTCGGCCACTGAGCCCTGGGGATGGGCCCAACATGGAGGAGGGCACGGATGGACGAGTCCTGGCCGACTTGATCAGCCAGCATGCCTTCAGCCACTGCTCTGCATTAATGGCAAAAAGCTCAGTGAGCACAGGATGGAGGATGGGCCGAGCTACAGGGGCACAAGGACAGAACAAGAAGCGTACCTGATTTGGATCGTTCAAGAATTGGGAAATAGAGAGATGCTATTATGTATTGGTACAAACCTTTGGCTGTTTAAACAATTGCTTTCCCAAGTGCCTCCATGTCATGCTGAGCCTGTTGGTATTACAACATCTTACAACATTATCCCCCAGCTTTCCGAGTTCATTTGGATTTTGTTTTGCCAAGTGTCCGGTTGGTTGTAGGCCCCTTCTCTGACATCGTGAACAGCGTTGGGCGGATGTCTGTCGAAGAGTGCACGCCAGAGACCCTGAAGGAATTCCTGGGCGAGGCTTTGCGTGGTCCCGTGTGCGGAAAATCGGTCAGAATTAAACAATCGAAACATGAGAGCAGCCTGAGGAAGGACATATTTCCATCCAGACACAGTCCTGGCAGGTCAAACCATACAGTGGCTTGATAAATATCTAAATGTGGCTTAAGCAACAATATCTTAAATGAGTCGAACCTTCTGCACTCACTTGAACTTGGGTAGGTCAATGTAGAGCTCACATTTTCATGAAATTCACTTACTTCCATATTCTTCCACTCTCACACCACACATCGCCAGCCCGTGTGATTAAGGAGGTCAATCACCAGGATATTCCGCATTCCAATATTTCCAATTTGGTTTATCTATCAATCTCATACATTGCCCTTGGGCCCTTGGGTTGGACGCCATCGCTGCTATCGCTATTAGGTTGGAGGCCATTGCTCTTAGTCATCCGATTCCCAAAAACATTCGCCACTGCAGGTCTTGCGGCGATGGCACGACGAGCAGACCTCCGACAGCAGCTCCGCTCGCGCGTGCCTGACGTGCGCCTTGACGGTCTGGGTGAAGTTGCTCCGGCCTGGCCAGCACGAGGTTTGGGCCGCTGTGCTGAAAGTAGACCATTCGAACTTTGGTGACCTATCCGTGGCCAATCCGATCCGCGAGTGTCCTAGGTCAAAGAGATTGCGGCCATGGAGAGCCGGCTTTTGTCGCAAGGGAACGTGAGCAACCTGGGGCAGTTTGCACAGGTGGGGTCCTTGGCGTGTGCTTTCAGCCTCCTTTCCACATTTGATGAAGCTATATTTATGAAGAGATATGGAGAGTTCTCATCCACTGGTCCATCAACTTTTTGGACCCTGCGCCCACGATGATTGAGAGCGAGTTCAAGATTTGTCAACCAAATCCATCGAGGTTTATTGTAGTCTCCATCGTCACAAGGTTGAGAAGGGAATCTAAGATATATAATCTAAGTGTTTTTCGTTGGAGGGTTCTCCTCTTTGGGTTGTTTCTGTGGTGTATGGACCCCTTTGCCGGCATACCATGCAAACACCACACGCCAGGCCTTAGCAGGCTATGCACCTGGCATGGGTCTTTCCCCTGACGAGACCTGCCGGGATATGCCCACGGGGACAGGGGCAGGACTCCAGGTGGACGGACCACTCCTTGCGCCGCCACCCATGGTTCTTTGCAGAAGGTTCATGTTTTTCAGGTATATATCCTGCACTACTTCAGATGGTGACCCCCTCGGCAGTTCGAAGGCTTCCCAGAATGTGGGCTCCAAGCGAGCAATCTCAGCTCAAATGATCTTGTAAACGTTTTGAGCGCACTGAGGAGCCGACATTAAGCTGTGCACAATCAACCTTCTCGCTGCCTACTGCGCACATGCCCAACCACCTTTTTCTTGACAGTCCTATTTGTTTGTTGGCCTTTGACCGTCAGAGTGCACATGGGCTATACTGCTATACTCTAATTATATACTGTATCTCTAAATACTCCTTTGGGGACCTTGGGTGATGCACGTTTCTTTCATCAAGCGCATCAAGCGTGTGTAGCTAGTCAACCTTGACGGACGGGTTCCAACAGCAATGGACACATGCAAGCTGAACCAGAAGGAGTTCAAAGCCAGCAAGAAGCATATATAGATATTATATGAGGAACAGTATGTTCATTTTTTTTGGTCATACGGCATTTGACTATTTTTTTGTCATTACGGGCTTGCCCAAATACGGGCATATACGGTTTCCTCTCTTGGCTCAATAGGGTACCATATTCGGGTGTTGCAACGCAGTATTCGCACTAGTATGTTGGAATATGGTTACGGCCTTTTTTCAATAACATATTGAAAAAATACTAGTATCATACAGGTACCCCCAAATATGCATGCAAATATGGCCAGTATACGGCCATATTTGTATACAGTTCCCATTCTTCAACATGGAGTCCTCCAGAGAGATGTCCGTGCCCACATACGGCATATGCACAAAAAAAGCGGTCAATACGGCTTGAGGCCATAGTCATCAAACAACAATGATCATACGGGTTTCCAGTAGGTGTATATATATACATATGTGTGTTGACGTTTTCAGAATTGTTATCGTTTTTTTCCGCGTTTTGCTATTTTGGCTTGCTCTAAATTCAACCTGTGTTGCTCTTTGGCCTTTCTGAATTGGTTGTGGGCTAGAGTGATGCAGTGATGCAGTTCGTCAGGCTTTTCTCGTACGGCATTTCGCTGTTGGGACCCTTTTGTTCAATGTCTTTCTGCTTGGTTCCCTGTAGACGACGCACCCTGGTGACTGGCATCATGGCAACCTGGGACATTTCAGATGATTTGGGACCTTCGTTGGTGCTGAGGAATGGGATCAGATGCTCTCGGTGCTGCGCACGCTCTTCGTGCGGCTTTTTGAAGGTCCCTTGCTGGTCAACACCAAGACTGTGGAGCAGAAGCTGCCCGCGGATGACAGCTTCACGAAGGACGGAAAGGGTCTTTAGGAGCGACCATGTAGACTCCGGCCCACGATTCACCAGGAGAACAAGGCTCGCGAAAGCGTGCAGATGGATCTGATGGTCGACCACTGGCCAAGTTTGCTCTCGCACGGATGCAGCGAAGAGGAGTCCTTTGGTGTGAGATACTGTTGTAACCTCTGGCGACTTAAGAAGGGATATGTGGCGACCCAGCGGCCGGGTAGCTCCAGCACGAATAGGTTGAATAATGGGACTAGGAGTGAGTAGATGTCTATTGATACTTGCGGGAAAGGAGGTGACAAAGCATAAGGCACGATTGTGCAGAGGAATCTGGTCTGAGTGTGACCGGCGTCATGAAATACATTGAAATACAATTTTGTGCCGCTGGGTCATGGTTTTCATCATGTTTTGTTTTTTCATATTGAAGCATGCTAAAGCTTGTGACATGACAGCCACTTGGTACAGACATTAACGTGGAAGGGAGTCTGGCACACAAACTGCCATTGCAAGGTCAAATGAGCTTTTCAAGAGATGCCCCGAGACTTGGCTTTGGAGTGTTCACGGGAGATGTTTGGCATCGTGGAGTGCAGATGGCTAGCCATACGTGGTCAAAGCTGGTTGGCAAACTTACCTGCGCATGAAGCAAAGGGGCCATCGCCATCATAACCCAGCTTCCCTTTAGTTATAGTTCCATAATGGAACACTAGCCACTAGCGACTAGCGACTGTGATCTCGAGGAGAAGTGGAAAGTGAAATTGGCTCAGAAGTTGATCGACTCCTGGTGGGCCCGGTACGAAGAAGAGTCGGTCCGCGACAGCAAGCAGGCTCACAAGGACCTTTTGTATAGGATTCCCTTTAGCAGAGGTGTATTAGAAAGGGAAGGCTCGGAAAGCAGGCGTATTGTTTCCTTGGCTTCACCAGATTTCCTTGCCACTTTTTAGAGGATGAGATGTGAAGTTTCAATTTTTCCAGCACATCATTTGGGATGGCAAGGCGGCTTTCCAGCAAGAACGCCCTGATGGAGGCTGGCAACATTCTGGTGGCAAGAAGGTCTCTGAGATTGTTGTGCCTTGGCATGGCCAGGCTCGTACATGCTATATAACGCATTGATGACACAGTTGACGACACAAGGGGTAAGAGCACGGTGCTTGTGGCATCGTTCCGGTGATTGTTGCAAGGTAGCTCCAATATTCTATAGATGTCTAGTAGAAGTCTGCGAGATTCAAGGATGTCGGTTTATGCAGAACTTGCCACTTGCCTTTCACAATGTTTGAGAATAACTGAATGTGGACACACCAAACCAGATCAAACAAGCATACAAACAAACACACCACAGGCAATGTGATATTTCTCCATCTCCCTCAATTGCATCGCTTCTCCAGCGGCAAGGTCGGCTCCATCGTGAGCGGCACCGTGACGAACAGCTCAAACACCTTTGGTGTCTATGTGAACTTCGGCTGTGAGAAGGATGGGAAGCTTTCGGTACCACAGACCGACTGGAAGAAGTACAGGGTGGGCGACAAGGTGGATCGCATGGTGGTGAACAAAGTGAACGTCGAAGCTTGGCCGGCTGACTCGTGCAGCCGAGAAAGACGCAAAAAGCTTTCGTGGCTTACATGTTGTTGGCTTCAGGAAGGACGTCCATAAAGCTGAAGCAGGTGAGGTTTCTTATGTAGCTGCGACTGCGACCAACGAACTTTCGTTTTATGATGGCCCCCCATTCATAGGAGGTCGCAGTGTTCGATTTCATGCCCATCCAGTCGTTTTGGCTCCCACAACTCGGATGAACCGATTGAGGACAGGAAGTTCGTGGACTTGCTGGTGGTCGGCTCGAAGGGGCAAACAGTTGGCTTGGAAGCCTCCAAGAAGGCGACTTGCCACGGAGAGTCACGTGTTCTATCAAGTTTTTCGCCTGCAAAAGCTAGGTTCAAACGGGCCCCCTAATTCTTGAGATTGATAAATGACCCAGAAAGATCAAGTACTGCTCGTAGTTGGGGATGCCACATACATGAGTCATCCATGGTCATCCAACATGCATTTCTCCGGTGCGTCAAGTCCTTGGGTCATCATCCAACATCCTTACGGACGTCAGTCCTTGGCATGGTCATGTGCGGGGAAGGCCCAGTTGTGTTTCAACCTCTGAACGCCTCGTCTCTTGGCATCGAGTCCAGGTGGCTCAGAGAGCATTGAGCTGGATCTCTGGTAATTCTGAGCTGAGGAGCACCTTCATGGCTGCTAGGACTGAAGACTAATCGTGCACGACCTTTTTGCGTTGAGCAAAACCAGCCATGTACGTTCTTATAGAATCTTATATCTAACTAATATAACTCTCCTGAAACACCGAGGCGAGCTTTTCAGGTGCCAAATTCTCCATCACTTCGAAGTCAGCTTGCTTAACCCAACTGGACAACTTGTTTTTGAGTTTTTTTGAGTGTGTGTGAGTCTTGGACTTTTGACTCATTGAGATTCTATATACTGGTCGTACTGGTCCTTTTGTGTATAGGAAGTGCACCAAGTTGGCTTGAAGAAACACGTTCATACAGAGGTTGCTCCTCCCTCTCTCTCTCTCTCTCGCTTCGTTTGTTACCCCACAGGGATTGCTCTTGGCTTTTGCCTGATACGCCCTTCTTTTGAATGTTGTTTCGTTCTAAGATTCGCAGGGCCTTTCCTACTTGTGAGTGGTGTCCACTCATGACCACCGTAGAACATCAATGGCATCAACCTCCAAGATTGAGATGGCTGTGCGAGAAATTAGTTCCTTCCATCACTGAAGCAGCTGCCATTGGCTGCATCATAGCGGAGCCAAGGTTACCTTGCAGAAGATGTTAGCCAAGCTCATTGTGGCCGATTCTCGCCTTGAAGAAAGGGCTATGCTGAGTGTTCAGGGACTTGCATCACAAGAACGGCCGCAAATTTTACGCTGATAACTTACCGTGGCTGCACATGACAGGAGGATTGCCAATGGTTGCAAGTGGGACTACACAGTTTCTTTCACATCATGATCACCACAACCAGAGAAACCGCCTTCCACCCATCCACCAGACGTTTTCAATCTTTTTTCATATCTTTTTGATCTTTCATCCTTTTCTCATTCGAAGCTGGTCGCCGAGGGCACGGGCGAAGAGTTCGAAACCAGCCTCCGTCTCCTAGGGCCAGCTTTGGACGCCAAAGAGCTGCTCGGACAGACGGGCAGAGCGAACGACTGGGCGGGACCTTATCTGCGGGGGACTTTGAGGGGCTCCAGGCGGAAGGGGTGACATGGCATGTGCATGTGTTATGATTTGGCACCGGAAAGCCAAACAAGTGCCAAAGTCATCCAAAGCCGTCCAAAGTCTTCGGCGTGTCCCCTCGCTCTCGCCCAGAAGCGTGCGCTTGGTGCAGCTGGTCTTGGATCAGAAGCCTGCCTCTGCATTGGTTCGTGTAGTGCTCTTGTGGCTCAGCAGGAGTGATCCATATGCTTGTGAAGCTTTTGGTTCAGATGGTCGACTTGGGAGGATGTGAAATCATTGTAGGTGTGAAGTTCAGTCAAGACCCCAAGAGGAACCCCAGCACTTGAGTCAAATGATCCGACGCCGTCGCGGCACAAGGTGCGCACAGAGCCGAATCGCATTTGCAAAAGGGCCGCGTCCTTTCTTTCAGCTAGGTACATGGTTTGCACGTATCTTGCTTAGTTGGCACCGGAGCCTACGTTGAGTTGATGTTGGACTCGCTTCCTGGCGGCTGGACTCAGTCCGAGCTTGACGCTTTAGAGGAGGAGCTTCACATTGACTCCGATCCAGGTGCGGCATCGAGCATTGCAAGTCGAGACAATCCTTGGCGGTGCCTTCGATGCAACTCGGCACGTTGGAGGGAAGTTTCAGCCACTTCATTTGTTTGCGTGCGTTGCCAATACAATCAGTTCTATCATGTTGAGCAGCCGACACGACAGCAGACAGTTGATGGTACTTGGCTATACCTTCCCAGCACCGACAGTGCACCCATCGGCAGCCTCTCCTCAGCGCAGCTCCGGAGGCAGTCGGTTGACCCGCTGGCTGAAGATGTTCCTTCACCACCGGATCCCGCAGCGGAGCACCCTGAGAGTGAGGAACCGACGGATGACCCGTCTCTTGTCGCTTCATCCCGGTATGATTGGCCCGTTGACCCACCAGAGCAGTCCGGTTCGAGTTCATCCAGGTCGAGGAGGCGACGCAGACGAGGTAACACCACTGCGCAACAGAATGATTCACAGCATGATACTCCCGATGCACCTTCTCCTTCACAGGTGCCCTTGCGACTGCCTACATCGTCGAAGACGAGGCCTGACGGACAGTCAGAGTTGGTACAAGCATTGAAGCAAGTGTTGGAGGAGCGTCGCAATGACTCGGCTTCTGACAAGAGTTGGAATTCGAGGAAAGGTCCAGCCCCAGGGCTGAAGTGGAGAGGTGGCACACCGCCGCAGCCACCCAAGTGGCAATACCATGCATCGGACCTTCGTGCATTTGCAAAGTACGAACGTCGAGTGCAGGTTTGGCAGATGCAGGTACAGCACTATCTCACTGGTGCTGAAGCTGGCTTGATGTTGTTCAGCTCCCTCACGGGAGAACCGGAGGCCGAAGCAGAGCACATGGAGCTGGAAAAAGTGAACGCCAAGGATGGTGTCAGCTACATTCTTGGTTGTTTGAAGGGCCCATTGGAACAGAAGTTGTTGTATCAGAAGCGCATGTTGCTTTCCAACTACGAGTCCATCACCCGCGAGAGCCACGAGTCGATTCGACAGTTCATAAACAGATATAAGCGTGTTGAGCGTGATTTGCAAACAGTCGGGATCAGTTCAGCAGCGATGTACGATTCAGAGTCGCGTGGCAACAGGTTGTTGGAGCGTTGCAAGTTGGATCCACAGCTTCAAAGGTTGGTACTCATCGGTGCTCACAGCAGTCTGCAGTTTGATGCAATTGTTGAGAGTTTGCAGCTTCAATTTCCAGATTTCAGGCCAACTCCACCGGTGTTCCAATCAGGTGGATGGAGACCAAGCAGTTCCGGCAGCTCCTCGTACAAAGGTAGCAACTACCCCAAGTCGATGGCTTCCACGTCAGCCTCAAGCTCAGCGTCGACCTTGCCATCGTCCGCCTCTGCATACAACCGAGGCAAAGGGGGTAAAGGACCCCGCCGTGTCTTCCAGACTGAGGTTGCGGACACGGGAGATGCAGATGTGGTCGAGGCCTATGCGGCCGAAGATCTGGCTGACGAGCAGCCAGAGGAGTTTTTCGAGACCATCGAGGAGAACCTCGATGAAGACAACGAAGAAAACGCACAAGATGGTGAGGCACCAGATGATGACCTGGACGCTTCACTACAGGACCTTGCACAGGTGCTCTCGGTTACTTCGAAGAAGTTGCAGGCCACCGTGTTGGGCAGAAAGTTCACTGGACGCAAGTCCATAGATGAGCGGAAGCGGACTTCAACATGTTCCGCTTGTGGTGCAATCGGCCACTGGGCTGGAGATGCAGCATGTTCAGTTTCTGCGTCAACCAAAGGTTCAAGCAAAGGTGGCAAAAAGGGGAAAGACAAGCATGGTGGGAAGGACAAGTCGGGTGGACAACCTTCCTCCTCGTCGACTACCACGACACCCAAAAAGGCATTCGTAGTCAGCTACGGTGAAGAGTACCCTGGTGAAGATCTTGGCCATGATATGTTCCTCAACTACCCCACCAGTTTCGTTGACTCGGTTCACAGCCCCTTCGTCTACGTCGCCCAGACAATCGATTTGGGCGGTTACATGGTTTTGGACACCGCATGTCAGAGGTCATGTGCAGGCCAACGGTGGATGCAGACACATGCACGTTTGTTGGACAACCATGGTATGGGTTTTCATCGTGAAGAATGTCACGATCGATTTCAGTTCGGTGCAGGATCAACTCAGCAAGCTGCCGAGCGATGCCTCTTCCCGGCCAGTTTTGCAGGCCAGGAGACTCAGGGCATCATTTTTGGTGTGAGCATTTTGCCGCTGTCGATTCCGTTTTTGGCAAGCAGAGTGTTGCTAGAGCAGCTTGGGTGTGTTATCGATTTGCATCAGGGCATATTGCACATGTCAACCATTGGTGTTACATTGCCGTTAGTCAAGAAGCATGGACATTTGGTTGTGAACATCACCTCATTTCCACCACGTTGTCATCAGTTGTTGTGTTGGAAAGAGCTTGCAGAAGATCGTTTTTGGACGCAGCCTTGTCCTGAGCTCGTGCTTCATCCTGAAGCCGTTCATGCTCCCAGTGGCTCACATTACGACCGGGTGAATGCACTCTACACGCCAACCACCCGAATGGCTCAGCCGCTGGCGCACGATCCTGTTGAGGATCCTTCTCCTCGAGTTCAACGCCCTCAGAGCCATGAGCAGGCTGGTCAGGATCGGCGTTCGGCCTCGATCTTGGTTGACAGCCCGCGAGACACAGGAGCTGAAGGAGATGCAGAGTCGAGCCAAGAAGACCTGCACACATCCCAGCTTCCGTCGGTATGGCAATGCTCACGGCAGGTTCACAGAGTGCCTGAGGTGCGAAGCAAAGTTCCGTTGGATGCAGGACCAAGAAGGCTGGGTGGAGTATTCGCCAAAGTCTTCCAGCTCATCGGCGCTGTGCCGTCCTCAGCCAGTATCCTGACTCCCAAGGACTTGGCGCCCAAGACGAAGGGCACGAGCAGCAAAAGCAAGCCCAAGGCAGCATCCACACCTCAGAGAACCTACAGGACATCCTCCATGGGCACCAGGTCGCCGTCTGTCCACAGGATGGACAGCGGGGATGGTTACCGGGGCACCGGATACAGCCGGGAGGAGTTCGAGGAGATCATGTCCTCGATGGGGTCAGAAGCATTCCCACCAAGCTCGGATGGCGGCAGGGACGGCTATCCGGACGAGGAGTGGGATTGGTGAACGATGACCTCGAAGAACACGATCACTGGGAGACTTTCAAGAACCAGTGCATTCGTTACCACCGGAACCCCAGACTCCTACTGTTGGACCTACAGCACCACCAATGCCCAGTTCCAAAGCACCTCTTGGCACCACACTGCACAGCTGAGGTCACATATGAGGATGGCTCAACCGAGTCCATCACCTATGAGTGGAACAACACACCGACCAAGCAGCTCCACCGGCCGTGGACAGGACGCACCATCTTTACAGTGCAGACACCAGCCACTTCCACTCAGAGATTCCTCAGCAATGCAGCCAGACGAACACTCCGAAACAATGTGAGGCAAGCGTACCACATCTACCACATCGAACATGTCCTGGCAGGACAAGTTGTTGATGATTTTGACAAGTTCCACAACAAGAGGGCAGTCCGCCCCAGGGTTGATGTCTTGGAAACCTTTGCTGGCGCAGCCAACATCACTCGGCGATGCCAGAAGTTTCACTTGTCAGCTGCCAGTCCCATTGATTTCAATACCGGATGGGACCTTCGCAAAGCTGCAGACCAAGACCAAGTCGACGGCATTCTTGATGAAATGAGACCGTTGATACTCATCCAAGGCATCGACTGCAAGGACTGGTGTCTCTTGCAAGACAATTGCAACTACGTCCACAGGAAGATCTTACTCTTGATGAGAAGAGCCAAGGCCAGAGCCATGCTTCGCAAGACAACCAGCTGGTGCAAGAAGCAAGCACTTGCAGGACGACTCTTCCTCATCGAGAACCCCATCACCAGTCGTCTATGGCTCGAACCGGCCATCCAACGACTACAACAATTGCCCAACGTGACATCCGTCGCATGCCATGCCGGTGCATACGGAGCCACGAACAGCCAAGGCCAGATGATCCGTAAGGGACACCGGTTCATGGGCAACTGCCAGCACGTTCTGGCAAGGCTTCAAAGGAAGCTTTCTCCTGAACAACGTCTTTGTGTTCCACTGGAGGGAAAAGAGACCACTCGTTCACAAGAGTATCCTCCAGGCATGGTGACTGAGATCCTGCGAGGGATCCAAGAAGAAGTGACCAACCGCTTTCCAGATCGCTTCCAAAATCACCACGGCAAACCAGCCACGGTCTACATGACCACTTCCATTGAGGCCTGGAATGAGGCACTAGACATGGCAAATTCCACCTTCCAGGTCACACGCTACAAGCAGTTCGTCCTCCCAGTGTCGGACCCACTCTTCAAGAAGGCTTGGGAACTGACCGAATGGAACCACATGGAACGTGTCCAGATTGCATGGCAGCCCATCACATGGCGATTCCCAACACACGTTCCACACACACATCGAGCCGCAGCCATGCGATACACAGACGGCACGATGGAGGTCATTGAAGAAGACCTTGGCAAACTCAGGCACCCACGGGCTCGCTTCACCAAGCCCGTACAATTGGCCATCTTCATGTTCGGTCAGAACAGTGCCGAAGCGGAGGTCACGCCATCTTACAAGCGACCTCGAGCAGATCCAAGCCCAGGAACTCAAGATCCACAGCAGTTTCAACCTCAGGAACTACATCCCTTACAGGCTCAAGAAGATGATCCATTGCGGCTTGTGAGGAAAGATGATGATGAGATTACCTTTCTGCCAGAGCTCAAGCTGACGGCTGAGATCAAGCTGGCGGTCAAAAGGATGCATAAGAACCTGGGTCACCCTCGAGCAGCAGAGCTGAAGAAGCTGCTCGCACTGAATGGCGTGAGCAATCAGGCCATTTACAGTGCAATTGAGGGGATGAAGTGCAACTCGTGCGAACGCACGAAAGGACCAGCCCGACCTGACCCAGGCGGAGGACTTCCAGACCAAACAGCTTCCCAGTTTGGTGACCGGCTCTAAATGGACATCATCTATGTGCGAGATGTCAAAGGTACCAACTTCCTGGTACTCGGCATCATCGACGAAGTCACACACCTTCATGTCGGCACCTTGCTGGCCAACCGAACACCAGAGGAAGTCACCAAGAAGTTCATGCTTGCACGGGCTCGTCCATTTGGCTTCCCTCTCAGGCTTCGAACCGACCCAGACGGTTCCTTCCGCTCCACCTTCGAAGATGCCATGGACGAAGCTGGAGTGTATGTCGACTACATTCCAGCAGAGGCACACAACAAGATAGGATTGGTGGAGAGGCACAATGCCACGTACCGCTCACTGATGGAGCGCATCGTGGACGCTCAAGGCGTGATTGGCTACGACCAGATGGACATAGTCACAGCCATGGCATCTCACGCCAAGAACAGCTGCACTTGGTCGACTGGCAGACCACCATATGTGGCGGCGTTTGGCCGCATTCCAAGACAAGGCCTTGAACTCCTGAGCGGCCCACACGGCCTCATCACAGGCCAGACCAGGTCACAAGCGCAACAGTTCGCAGACACCATACGAGCTGAAGCTGGCCGCCATGTCCATCGACAGCACACTGCGAAGAGCACTACTTCGCAACACCACTCCGGGTCCATCAGACATCCCGGAGATTGGAAGCACAGTCGCCTACTGGCGATGGACAGCCCGCAGCGGCAAGAAAAGGGGAGGCTACAAGCTGGCAAGACTCCTCGGAAGAGACCCAGATGGCAAGAGTCTCTGGCTCCAGGCCGGCACGAACACCATCCGTGTCGCACCACACCAGCTCAGGACCGCAAGAGGCTTTGAGTGCTGGAACCCAGACTATGAGCAGATTAAGCAACTTCGAGCTGCAGCAGACAACCTCCAACATGGCATCCTACAGGGTGAAAGCATTCCAGAACCACCAGAGGATCCAGAACAACCTTTGGGACATGACCAGCTTGAAGCAGTACCAGATCTGCCGGCGCCAGACATACCTTATCTAGTACCACCGTCCGAACCAGCGACCGCAGCAGCAGACCAAGCAGAAGAGGCAGCGCAAACCGATCCATATGAGCCGCATCCACAGAACACATCAGTTGAGTACCATCTCAACGTGCACTCACCCACATACAACAAGACAGTGATCCAGTCACAACACAGCTTCGGCATGACACCTGAGCAATGGATGCAGCCTCCAGTCAACGCACCAGTGCGAAAACAACACCGGTCTCGTACCCCAGCATCCAGGACTCCCAGATCCATTCGAGGCCAACCCACAACACCAGCATTGGGCGATGCTGCAGGACAAGCTGCAGCAACTACACCGGCGCAACCTCTTCTGCCACCTCAAGAACAGGCTGATCAAACACCAGCACATACACCAGGTCTACCATCTGTGATGCCCGAAGTCATCGACATAGAAGCCATGCCAGACACACAGGATCCGGCGCTCGGATCCATTGTGCCTACAACACCTCCGGAACTTGCCGGAGACACGCCAAGCAACAAGAGAGCAAGCACAGAGATGGAACAACCGATTCCGTCACAACCGTCCTACAAAGCACTACTGCAGCAGCACACCAAGCAGCAGCAGATCGACCAGGACACATACCACTTGCACGGCTATAAAAACATGGCAAAAGCAGCAGACCACACACTACAGGTCTGGGCACGTCGAGACACAGCAGCACAGGTCTTGCAGACCACACATTTTTGTGGACCGCCCAAATGGTCCATCAAGCACAGACGGGTG